TCATTGTGTAGTACATGGATTGATGATGTTAGTGCTACAGCCACATAGGGGTGGAGACAGGATGTAATATAGTGGCAGGAAGAAAGTGTGTCTTGCTTTTTGCTGGTTCCTGCTTGCTGTTTGCAGCTGCCATGAACTGTGGCCCAGCCATGCACACCTGCCTTGGAGCCAACTGAGTGTGGACTGAAACCTCCAAAAACCAAAGAAATAAACCTTTCCTTTCTCAACTTGGGCTTCAGGTATTTTGTCTCAGAAACAAGTAAAAGATAACTAAGACAGTAGTTAATGCAGGTCTCATGTTAGCTTGGCCTTGGATGTCCTTCAGAAAAGCCTGGCCTCTGAAGATATGGTGCAATGTAAAAGCTTGGCTGTGGGGGAAGCTAGGATCACTAACATCCTCTGACAATTGCTGGCTATACTGGTAAATGACTACTGTTATGAACTGATGGACTATGATGAGTTTAAATTGGAGTTCTCCTCAATGCTTCCCCACCTTAAGCTGGCTACCCATCCTGGGAGTCAACAAAACAAAAAAAGAGAGAGATGTTGGAAAGCGTTGAAGATGAATACATGTGCAGGGCTGTGGTGTGGCCTGGGCATGATTGAACTGAGAATGAGCAGACACCATAAGGAACAAGATAGGCCACAGCTGAGGCCACCTGGAGACTTGCTGGATAGTTTTTCTTAATTAGAATCATCTGTTGCTCTGTGGGTTCCTTGAACCTCTCCCAGGAGCCTGCTCAGGTTTTTACCATTGCCAACTCACTTCCTTGCTTGTTCTGATTAAATATGGGCTGCCTAGTGACAGGTGGCTGGCTGGTTAGCAGAGTTATGAGTTCTAAAGAAGATTTCACTCTTCCTGTTTCCCTCAAGACGATGCCACTTTTCTGATTCTTTTGGTCCTTTGCTGTGCACATTTTTGGGGGCTGGATATTTAGGCATAGGCCCCAACAGAAAATTAACTTCCAGATAGGATAACTGTAAGTTTCCTTAAAATTTTGTTGCACGTAAGTTTTCTTTACCTGTAGATGGAAGTGTTATTATCAACAAATATATTGCTAACTTATCAACACATGCTACCTTATTAACATATTGAGGAGTATTATAGTGATTTCTCAGAAACCATGATTATACACCTCTTTACATCATTGTGAGTATTCTGCATAATTTTTCTAAGTCAGTACTTATAAGTGATATTGGTAGATAATAAAGGAGGCCTCCATCAACTTGCTAAGTACTATATAACATGAGTCCCGGTGTTTCTAGCAGTTCATTTGTTTTACCCATGAATTCCTCGGCAGGTGCCAGTTATGCTTGGCAGAGAATGGATTGTACAGGAAATTACATGGTTTTGATCTCCAAAGAATTGCTGGAGTCAAACTGAAACAGGTAAAAGCTAAAAAACTGTTAGGGTTTTCATAGATTAAAAACTCATTTACATAATTAGTTGAAGAATGAATTGATGCACTGGAAGTTTATTCAGAACATGCAGATAGCTGAATTATATTAGATATTTATTTCTTTACTTTTATACAGGTACAAAATACCTGACTTACAGAATTTAATATAAATCTATTCATTATCTCATTGTTTCCATGAGGAAAGTTTGGTTTTGATTGTTTCCAAAGCATAAATATCTTGGAAAAAAGTGATAAGGAAAAGGGAACTTTTTTATGAGGTCAAGGAGCCAAAGAACAGTTTCAGAACCTGAGAGGAAGGATCCAGGGACCAGATTTGGTTCATGGGTTCCAACACACATGGCTGCAGTGTATACATATAGAAGCGATCATAGTAATATCCTACCCATTTCTGAAGCCCAAAAGGTGTTTAAAAATGGATCACCAGGCTTTAGGGTATATACGACTTCTAGGAATATTAAAATCCTGAAGAGCTGAGTGCCAGTTAGTGAAAAGGGACTATATGGCAAGGGGAACTTAGAGTGTGAAGTCCTCAGGTATCCCTCCCTCCTCAGAAGGAAATGTTTAATTGGATTAGGAATTTGGTTCCATTTCAGCAATAATTGTCACCCCCATGCTTGGCAATATGATCACTTTCAGAATTCAGCATTTTTATGAGTCTGAATGAGTAGCAAGCTTGTCTTGGAGAATTGATGCTTGCTTTTATTTCATCTTTACTCTGTTGCAGACTATTACTATCATTTAAATGTAATGTCTTCACTTTACACAGTAACTGTGCTCCTTTTGTGTTCACATACTGGGTTTCTAGGTGGAAAATTAACAGAAATGAGTGAAAATCATGAAAATGAAGTCTGCTGCCTCTAACACAGACTTCTGACTCTGTTCTGTTGTGTCCCGCCCTGGCCTGTTTTCAGAATATTTTCTCACATCAGTGGATTTTTTATTCCTGGAGGATTGAACCTGAATCCTGAAAACATTTGCAGCCCATTATGGAAAGAGTCCACTGATCCTTGAAAGAAAGCTGGGGTAGCCATGAAATGGCAGGGATAAATAAGAAATTTAGAGAAGACCTAATACCACTTCTCAAAATTTAATGAAATTGAATGGGAAATGGTACTTCTCAATCCATTCCTGGAAGCAAGCATTACCCTGATACCAAAACCAGAGAACAATCCAAATAAGAAAGAGAATTACCGACCATTCTGCCTAGTGAACATTGAAACAAAAATCGTCAATAAGATACTGGCAAACAGACTGCAGAATATCATCAAGAAGATTTTTACACCATGATTAAGTGGAATTATTCCCTGGGACGCAGGGGTGGTTCAACATACATAAATCCATACATATAATACACCATATTGACAAATCCAAAAGCAAAAATCATTTGATCATTTCTCAATAGATGCAGAAAAAGATTTTGCCAAAGTCCATCACCTATTCATAATAAAAAACCTACAAAAATTGGGAGAGATGATCTTTATCTCAATCTGATAAAAACCTTTTATTACAAACCAACAGTCAACCTCATACTAAGTGGACAAAAACTGAAAGCTTTCACTCTAAAATCAGGAACAAAACAAGGATGTCTACTGTCTCCACTCTTATTCAATATAGTCCTGGAAACTAGCTGGAGCAATTTGACAAGAGAAACAAATAAAAGGAATAAAGACAGCAAAGGAAAATCTTAAACTATCATTATTTGCAGAAGACATGATACTCTACTTAGAAGACCCTAAAAATTGCACCAAAAGACTTCTAGTTGAAGAAGCAAATTCAGTAATATAGCTGGTTACAAAGGCAACACTCAACAATCAATAGACTTCATAAACAAGAGTAAAAAACTCATGGAAAGAGAAATCAAGGAAACAATAACTTTTACAATAGCATGCAACAAAATGAAATACTTAGGAATCAATCTAACAAAGGATGTAAATTACCTCTACACTGTAAACTACAGTACTCTCAACAAGGAGATTGAAGAAGATATTCTAAAATGAAGAGGTATCCCATAGTCTTGGGTAGGGAAATTCAATATAGTGAAAATGACCATACTTCCAAAGCTATTGTACAGATTCAGTGCAATCCCAATCAAAACCCCGTAGCATATCTCAAAGAATTACACAAGATAAATCCTAAAATTCATCTGGAACCAGAAGAGACCTAGAGTAGCAAAGGTGATCCTGGGAAACAAAGAAAAGATAGGGTTCATCAAAATCCCTGACTTGAAATTATACTATAAAGGTATTGTGATTAAAAAAAAAAGGTGTGGTACTGACAAAAAACAAAACAAACAAAACCAGACCCAAAGATCAAAGGAACAAATTAGAAGATGGAGAAACAACCCCAGACCACTAAACCATCTTATCTTTGACAAAGGTGCCAAACAGAGTCATTGGAAGAAAAGCAGCCTCTTTAATAAATGGTGCTGGAAAAAGTGGCTCTGTACGTTCTGAATATTATCTTTCAATGTGTATTAAGCTAAGATCAGAATAGATCAAAGATCTTATATTAAAACAGATACATTAAATCTGCTGCAAGATAGAGTAAGTAAAACTCTTTAAGACATTGATGTGAGCAAAGACTTTATGAAGAAAACATGGATTGAACAGAAAAAATCAAAGAGAATGAAGTGAGAATCTCACCCTACTGAAAAACTTTTTAACAGCAAGAGAAATCACTAACAGAGTGAAGAGACAACCCACAACGTGGGAGAAAATGTTTGCCAACTGTTCCTCAGACAAAGTATTACTATCGAGAGCATGGAAAACTAAAAATTTCAGTCTTCCCAGATTTAAAGACCCAATCCAAAAATGTGCATCTGAGGTGACATACACAGTTCTCAGATGAAGAAATAGAAACAGCAAATAAATATGTGACAAAATGTTCTCCATCACTCGTCATTTAACAATTGCAAATTAAATAACACTGATATGTCACCTTGCCCCAGAAAAAATGCCTACTGTCAAGAAATCAAGCAATAACAAATGCTGGAGGGGTTGTGGGGGGAAAAGGGACCTTTCTCCATTGTTGGTGGTAAAGCAACCACTGTGGAAATCAGTGTGGAGATTCCACACAACTAGGTCTACAGGTCCCACTCAACTCAGCTATTCTCCTTCTGGGTATCTACCCAAAAGAATAAAAATCATCATACCACAGTGATATATGTGCACCCATATTTATAGCAGCACAGTTTGTGGTAGCTAGATCTTGGATGGAAATGTACCACCTCTAGCTTGCCAGGGAGGCGCTTAAGCTAAATCCCTGGACCACTTTTTTTACTTTTTAACTTTCAAATAAAATGGGTTTGGGAGAAAAAAACAAGGACTGAGGTAGACTTTCAGTGCAAATACCCATCAGACGAGCTGAGGTCAACATTCCAGAAGACAGCCAGCTCCAGAAGCTCCACCATCTTTCATTGGGGATCCACAGTTACAGGGTGGTTTTTTTTTTTTTTTTTTTTTTTTTTTTTTTTTCTGTAATTATTCTTGGTGCGGAAGGCAGGCAGGAGAGCAGGAGCCAATCAGTGATGTAGAGGCCGGCTGTAAGAACTGTCCAATCAGGCGGGCCAAGGTAGGCGGTCTCTTCCGGTGTCATGGCATCAATTGCAAGGCCAAGGCAAAAAAGGGAGCACTAGATGTTTGCTAGACCACTGTTTTTTGCTTCTGTTCTCCGTGGACTTCTTAGAAAGAACCTGGGAGACCTCCAAACTACAGCAATGGTGATGTTATGGGATGGGAGCAGTGAAATGGGGTGGAATCCGGTTGAGACCAGTTAGAAGTGGTGAGAAGGGGCTGGGGGTTTAGCTCAGCGGCATAAGCGCCTGCCTTGAAAGCAGGCAGTCATGAGTTCGATCCCTGGTCCCCATAAAAAGGAAAAAGACCAAAAAAAAAAAAAAGTAGTGAGAAGCAGCTGTGCTGTCTAGAGCCTGTGTGCTTAGCCTCAGACCCTGAGGTCCTCTAGTGCTAGCAGTGAGTCATCCTCTGTCCCTTTTACCTCTCGCTGGGGCCAGGACAGTTCTGGGTCCCTAGAACGCTGTCACCACTGTGATACCACCAGGCCACAATGCCATTTTTGAAATCCCCGGCTGCCCTTGTTCCTCCAACAGTCTGGGCCCAGGAAGGGGCATAAGGAGACCCTGATTCCGATGTGGTTTCAAGATGGGTGCAGCTGTAAGAAGCTAGGTCTCTGCTCTCATTCCTGTCAGCAACAGATCTGGAAGCCAGAAGTATATCAATGTCAGTGATGCAGGACCTCATAGCCACAACTGCTCTCCTTAAACTTACGTATTTATGTATTTTGTGATCGGCTAAATTTATACTATGTTCTCGTATTTCTATGGTCATGAAAGGTGGTGGCAAAGGTTCTGAGAATTCAAAGATATGTAGTGATGTGCCTCAGTGGAGAAGGCTTCCCAAACACCGGATGAACTCCTGTGTATTATACAGAACAATGCAAAGAATTTCTGAACATACTTTATGTGACACATGTGCTCATAGACGATGTTTGTGAGAACAGCCATAGAGGTTTGTATTTTGAGAAAAATGAAGCAGATATAAATGTGTCATCAAGGGCAGGGTAAAGTGTGCTTGCTAAGGACAAATTCCAGAAAGGGCTGCCTGTTAAATTCTCATTGAAAAATGCCTAAATTTAGTCATTTGCATGAACATATATATATACACGTGATATCCTTCTGAATGGAACGGAATAGGGGTGTCATCTCTGAATTAAGAGATGATTTAATAGCTTGGTTGATCATATACATTGTTGGAATATGGACATGCTCTGCAGTGGACTTTACTAAGTGGTGTAAAGGAGATGCCATAAATTGAAATTGTGCAGAGATATCAATAGTTTAGTCGTGAAGGGTTTTCTGCTTAGGGTGGATCAGATGAGCATGGAAAGGATGTGGAAGTGACTGGCAGGACACAGTGTGCCAATAGCAGGACATACAACAGAGAGGGTCTTCCCTGAAAGTCAGGTAGTTCTTAGCATGAAGTTAAAGTTGGCTTATGATTTCTTCCTTGAGGTGAATAACACCAGCTCTGGTAAGAATCAGTATTCCACATCCTTGTCAACCCAGTAATTCTGTGTTCTTCACTTGAGATCTAATTTTGATTATCTCTAATTATGACCCAGTGTCATGAAGGTGAAATTTGAATTTTTTTTGTAACAGGGATCGAACTCATGATCTCAAGCTTGCTAGGTAGGTGTTCATGCTGCTGAGCTAAATACCAAGCTCTGAATGTGTTTTCTGTATACTATGTATGATATCAACATTGTTCCTCAGAAAATGTTGAATATTGTGGAATTTTTGTATGTTGTATGGATATAAATTTTAAAGGAAACCAAAGGTGTCGTATGTAGTCACTTTTCAAGTTTCACATTGTCTGTGGGGTGTCTCAGTCACGGTTTCTATATTTCAGACAGCTCTATAACTTAGGCTAGCCCCAAACTCAAGAAAGTTCTCCTGCATCAGCCTCCCAAGATATATTTTTTATATCTGAATAGAGAGTGATCACTTGGTGACACTGAGCTATAATTTGAAACTTGTACCTGGTTTCATTGTTTATACATTTTTTTACATACAGCAGTTTTCCATGAACATTTGAGTTATTATTTATGTATCATATTTGATGTTATTTATGTTTTGTTCTATGAAACCAAATTTATATATCAAAATGCTGCTTAAGTATATTAAGAACAAATGACTCAGTGGCCTGAATGAGATTTGAAGAGATATCATTGTTAGTACATCAAAGTGATTCATGATATATTTGTCTGCCTCTGGGCTTTATGGATGCTGGTCCTGCAGGCTCTCACTATGAGCTCTGCTTTAGAGACAGTGCGCAGGGACTCTTGCAGTGACTCAGCATAAGAATCAGTGCTCCTATTTGGCTGTTACATTAGCTGTGAGTTGCAATATAGCATTAAATTTGCTGTCTCAAAAAATGTGTATATACAAAAATTAATCCCAAGTTGTGAAATTAAGATTTGAAGAAATCAGTCTCCATTCAGCTGTTTTGTTTGGTTTTATTTGTTTAATTTAGTTTTGTTTTATTGAGACAAGTTTTCTCTATGTATATCAGCTAGATTTGAACCCTTTATGGAGCACAGAATTGCCCTAACCTTAAAGCAGCACTCCTATCTCAGCGTCTTGAGTGTGGGATTACAGATATGTGTGTTTTTACCCTAAAAAATATTGAAACTTGTAACTTAGCTGTGTTGTAGGTTGGCTTAATAGATGCCATCTTGAGCTTTGCATTTAACTAGTGCCCTGTATTTCACTCAGCAAAATGGAAAATCACTCAGGGTATAAGTCCCAGGAGAAAAGCAAAATGAGCTGTACCCAAAGAAAAAAATTAACCTGCTCAACAAAAGAAGCAGAGTACAGTTATCATCCAAAAATTATTATAAGATTCTAGCTAAATGATTTCCAACAGGATCTTTTTGTGATTCTATCTTTTAAAACATCTCTAACTTTCCAGTTCAGAGCCTCTTGTTTAGATCCTGAAATGGGGGTGGGGGTTCTGTATACAAGTGGTGCTGAGACCAGCTAATGAAATTCCACATTTCTCAATTGGGTTGCTTGGCTTCCTATATTATTGTTCACAAAATCACCTCAAGCTGCAGAAACCTTACTGACACAAGCAAACCTCAGGATTAAACGACAGTGCCACTGAAATGAAAGAACAATAGTGAAAAGGAGAGGAGAAAAAAGACAAATGCCATATGTTATAATGCCCACCTCTTTTCCCCAGCAATGAAAAGGCTGAAACAGGAGAATGCCATGTATTCAAGGACAGCCTAACCTACACAGTGAGTGCAAGTCTGGCCAGAACTCCAAAGTGAGACTATGACTTTAAATCAAAAAACTAAAATGAAAAAAATAATCAACCAAGTTGACAGAAAGGCTATTGAAAACAAAGAATAATAGAGCTGAGTGAAAGTTGAATTATGTAAAATGGGAATTATTGAATGATGCTGCAGAGAAAAGAAGGCCATGTAGTGGCATCCAGGAGGCAGTGACAAACACAGATTTAGGAATGGCACCTATTGTGCTACAGGACAACAGTGACCTCCTTCCTCCAATACATTTGCAGTTCATTAGACTGAGGACTTCTAAAAGCTCATTGAAATGTTAAACTCAGGGCAAACAAGCAGCTTGAAATTTTGGCTTTGGAACAATGCCTTTACCAGACATTTCATATTTAAATTGAGATAAGAGAAATATAATCCTGCCCTGTTTGATATCAAATGCATCAAGTTTAATGACTCACAACATTGAGAAATGAAGTCATAAACCAAAAGAATTTCAAAAATTTTCTTAGAAAAAAGGAAGAATAGCCCTGAATTATCAGGAGTGGTCTTCGGTGTTTTGGCCATAGACCTATTGTCAGGAGTCATTTATACAGGAAAGTCACAATGTGGGTACAGTGTGGGTCTCAGACTACAATCAACCTGTAAACTTATAGCTGCTTAACTAATATTATTCAGCAGGGGAACAAGTCAGCCAGAAAAGGTATGTGGAAAGAGCCAAGGCATTTTGTGGGAACAATAGTCCAGTTGTTCTGGTCATTGAGTATGGTAATTGATGCCTATCAGGACTTCCTGGAGGGGGTGGTGGTAACTGTAGTACATTTCAAGCTGTTGTTTTTCTCTTCAGGAGCATGTAGACCTAGTCACTGCATCTTCACCTTCAGGTCTGGCTTTCTTCAGCTGTGCCTGTAGCAGTGGTTGTTGTATTTAGTTTTTTGCATGGACTATTTGAGGTTCCAGTTCCTCTCTGATTGTGTATCAATTTCTGTCTATCTTGACATCCTTTGCTAAAATCACAGTTCTATTTGAATGAATAAAGTGAAATATTCATTAATACAGGCCAGGGATTTAGCTCAGGAGGCAGAAACGCCTGCCTGGAAAGTGCTAGGTTGTAGCTTTGATCCCTGGTACCTAAAAAAAAAGTAATTTAAACTGCAAGGAAAGAAAATAATTTCATTTGTGAAAATGTAGGTTTACAAAATTTATAACTAAATATGTCAATGGCAAATTAAGCATTGTTAATAGTCATATTTAGTATCTAAAGTTGTTGGTCTGGGGATAGAGCTCAGGGATACAAGGAGCTGCCTGGAGAGCACAAGGTCATGAGTTCAATCCCTCATACAGAAAAAAAGTCACAGTTGTCAATGATGCAGTGCTATGAGCACATTTATTGAAATGGATACATGGTATTTAATAGGCTCAATGTTTCTTTTGTGGTCTATGAAATACCTACAGATAACATGGCAATTACAGTGAATGATATACTGTCCCTTATAGGATTGCTATTTTCTGAGGTTTTTTTTTTTGTTTGTTTGTTTTGTTTTGTTTTCCCACATACCTAAAAGTTGAAAATGTTGGCTGGTGCTAGGTAGAAAAACTGTGATAATCATTTTTTCAATTTAATGATATATTTCCCTATATTCATTAAGAACATTTTATTTGCTACAGTTACTCCAAGTCAAATTGATAAAGAATTCTTAAGTTTACAGGCAGCTGAGTTAGTTAGAAATAGAGGCAACCATACCATGATATACTGGAATGAAATTTCTGACCTTCTATGTCTGGTATGAGTTTGTGTTCTCTAAAATGGAAGAATGAATTTTAGGAACAACTGAGTTGAAAGGTGGAATATATTTATTGAGAGAAAGAAAGTGAAAGTATTTTTCTCTAAATAGGATATTT